AAGCCACTGTCTGTGAGGGTTTGGTAGGAATTCACTTTGGAAGTGAAGCCTGAAGGTAGCAAAGGCAGAGTTAAATCAGGGCCGTTGGAAATCAAAGAGCTCCTTGTCATCCAAATGGCCTGGTTACAAATGCTTGTCTCTTCAGAGGCCCTACTAATGCTTCCTTCATGTAAAAAACACACAGTGAAACTTGCTGGCTGTGAGCCTACTAAAAACTGGCCCTCAGCTGGAGCTGACCATCTGTTTTACTGGTGCCCAATTCAGATTCACATTCTTCCAAGGTGAAGCCCCAAACAGCAGCAAGGCTGCAAAACTACTTGGCCCTCTCTGTCCAGATGTCTTGAGCAGACTAGAGAAATGCTATCTTTCTGCAGGTGCTCATACTTACGTTGTTATGAAGCCTTAATGTCTGTCTTAGAAAGCTGATACTCTCTTAAATAAGGTTCTATCCAGTTCAGATTCCACTCTGCACAGCTTGGCTGAAGATCCCTCTGGGTCTTCTAAGCTCTGCAGGTCTCGATCTCATTACTTGTTCCACAAAGGGGTTTTTTTGCCTGGGGAGTCCTGACACTTAGCGTTGCTCTTGGCTGAATGTGGTACTAACCCCCTCTTCTTAGGAGAAGGTGGCTAACCACCTCGGTCAACTGTAGCCCAGCAAGAGGAGGCACATGCAGAATGAGTCTAGCTCCAGCTTGGAAGGGCAGAGAGGAAGGGCAGAAAGCGCTGTAGGGATTTTGTTGTTTTGTGTTGTTTTAAACTTAGTTCATCTATTATATCTTACAAAACAAAAGCCAAACAAACAAAACCCCAACTCTGCTCTCCAACCTTTAAAGATGGCAGCATTAATCTATGACTAGCATCCTCTAGGCCGCCATGTGCTACAGTTCACCTAGAGCACGGAAGGCTACTTCGCAGCTTCTTCAGCTGTAGTTCCAAGCAGGTATCTCGTTAGAGTAAGAATTAGAAAATCAAGGCCACAGGACAATTACCTATAAGGGGCTGCTTTGTGATGGAGCATTTTCTGGAGTTTCCTCCAAGTCTTGGTTGAACCTGAGAGAGTGGGATGACCGGCTGACAGCAGCGTCACTCTTTTCATTTAGGAGGCACTAGAGTGAGGTCCTCCTGCTCCAACCCAGCTTTATCCAGCACCTTCCAGGTGGCTGAGTCTGTTGGGGCCGGGTAAGTGTGACTCTTTCAGGAACTGGCCTGGGTGCTGGGACTTGAATTCCTGTCCTAGAGCAGAAAGTGCTCTTAACTGCTGGGCCATCTCTCCAACCAGTTTTAGGAAGGGCAGAAGAGGGGAATACTCTTACAAGTGGACATTTCTAATGAAAGCTATAAACAGTGCTTTGTACATAAAGTAGAGTGATTTCAATTGATTTAGTAAATTCCATAGGGTCCTGGTTAACTCAGGAAACCTCAATCAAGTTTTGACTCATTTTTTGTTTAGAAGTACACAGGCAATAGCAGGATCAGTAGAGTCTTAAGATAAAGGTTTCACTACACAATGACTTCTAATGTTACATATACAGATCTTGATAAGAATTCCCTTCCAAAATAGGTTCTAATAGCCGGGCGGTGGTGGCGCACGCCTTTAATCCCAGCACTAGGGAGGCAGAGGCAGGCGGATCTTTTTGAGTTCGAGGCCAGCCTGGGCTACCAAGTGAGTTCCAGGAAAGGTGCAAAGCTACACAGAGAAACCCTGTCTCGAAAAACCAAAAAA